GGGGGGGTGCGTGTTGGTTGGTTTGGGGGGGGTCTGGTTTAGTTATTTGGGAGTTTAGGAGCACGTCAGCTTTGATTAGGCTTCGGTCACGTGACGGGAGGTTTCCGGGCCAATCAGGGCGAGCGGAGATGCATATAAAGCAGGAGCGAAGGGCGAGCGGGGCTACCTGCCGGCAGGATCGGGCCCCCAAGCGCTCCGCACCGGAGGTGAGTACGGAGGGACACGGAGGATGGAGAGTTGGGGGGACAGGGAGGGAAGGGGGGGACACTTCCAGTCCCCCCAGGGAGAGCTTCGAGGGATGGAGAGCCGGGGGTGTCCCATTACGGGGTGTCCCCCCTGCCTCTGGCTCCCCAAATCTCCTCCAGCATCATTCCTGGAGCTGTGAGAAGGTGCTTTCTGGGGGTGTCCTACAGCCCCTCTTGCAGCCCTGGGATGGGAGAGGATCCTAACTGGGGTGCAAGGGTCCCAGCAGCCCCCCAGAGTCTTCACCCCATGGGACCAGGGTGTTAGCACCTTGTTAAAGCCAAGGGGAAGGTGGGATTTCAGAGCCAGGCTCTTCCCACCTGTGATTTGGGGTTTTCGGGGGGATTTCCTGTAGATCTGGGAGCAGGGTGTCCCCAACCTGCCGGCCACACACACCAGCCAAGGTGAGCTTTCATGGCCACCCATCTTTAGGAAGATTCACAGCAATGATCACAGAATGCTATGAGGTTGGAAGGGACCTCTGGAGATCATCTCCTCCAACCCCCTGCCAAAGCAGGGCCACCCAGAGCATCCTCAGGGATCTGTGGGACCCAGAGCAGGTCCCACAGGAATGTGTCCAGGTGGGTTTGAATGTCTCCAGAGAAGGAGCCTCCCCCACCTCCCTGGGCAGCCTCTTCCAGGGCTCTGCCACCCTCACAGGAAAGAAGTTCCTCCTCATCTTGAGATGGAACTTCTTATCTTCAAGTTTGTGCCCATTTCCTCTTGTCCTGTCCCTGGGCACCACTGAGAAAAGCCTGGCCCCATCCTCCTGACACCCACCCTTGAAGTATTTATAGGTGTTGATCAGATCCCCCCTCAGCCTTCTCTTCTCCAGACTAAAAAGACCCAAGTCCTTCAACCTCTTCTCGTAAGAGAGATGCTCCAGGTCCCTCATCATCTTTGAAGCCCTGAAGTATTTAGTTTGTTAAATGATGTATTTAGTTTGACTCAAAGAGGATTCAGCTCTCCTGGGGTCAAGCACTCTAAAAAAGACTTTATCACACAAAAAAAGAGGTCCTTTAGGTAAAAGAGCATGTTTCCTACCCCTGGCATCTAGGGAAAAAGCCATGGGACCTGTTCCTCTCAGTCCTGGCTAGTAAAAAAAACCCACTTTCAAGTGCAAGTAGCTTCCTGCAGCTCTGGATCAGAAGTTAAACCCAGCTCTCCTGCCTGCAGTTGCTACTCAGAGCAACTCAAGCTAGAGGAGCTCCATGGACCTTCCCTTCTTCATAATGCCTCTTTGGGTTTGTTACTAAGGTTTCTGAATGCCAGCAGCAATGGAGGCTGCCATGTCGCTGGTGGGAAGCCAAGGCATTGTCTCAGCCACCGAGGTCCTCCTCGCAGCTGCCGTCTTCTGCCTGGTCTTCCTGCTCATCCAGTCCCTCCAGCAGCACGTGCCCAAGGGGCTGAAGAGCCCCCCGGGACCCAGAGGTTACCCCATCCTTGGCAACGTGCTGGAGCTGAGGAAGGACCCGCACCTGGCCCTGACCAGGCTGAGCCAGAAGTATGGGGACATCATGGAGATCAGGATTGGCACCCGGCCCGTGCTGGTGCTGAGCGGGCTGGAGACCATCAAGCAAGCCCTGGTGAAGCAAGGAGAAGAATTCATGGGGCGCCCTGGCCTTCACAGCTTCCAATATATTTCGGATGGCCAGAGCCTGGCCTTCAGCCCTGACTCAGGGGAGGTGTGGAAAGCACGCAGAAAGCTGGCCCAGAACGCTCTGAAGACCTTTGCCACCACCCCCAGCCCCACCTCCTCTTCCACCTGCCTCCTGGAGGAGCACGTCTCCAAGGAGGCCGAGTACCTGGTGGCCAAATTCCTGCAGCTGATGAATGAGGTGAAGAGCTTTGACCCTTACCGGTACGTGGTGGTCTCCGTGGCCAACGTCATCTGTGCCATCTGCTTTGGCAAGCGCTACGACCACAATGACCAAGAGCTGCTCAGCTTGGTGAACCTCAGCAATGAATTTGGTGAAGCGGCTGCTGCTGGCAACCCCGCGGACTTCATCCCCCTGCTCCAGTACCTTCCCAGCCGCACCATGCAGATCTTCAAGGACATCAACAGGCGTTTCAACTTCTTTGTGCAAAAAATTGTCCAGGAGCATTACACCAGCTTTGATAAGGTAAGAGCTTGGATGCTCTTGGATGTCGGTAGAGATGCCTACAACCATCTCTAGAGGTGCTGTCTGCCTGAGGGGAAGAAGGTACTCCCTTGTCCCCCCCACCTCTGCCCTGGAGAGCTTCTTGGAGCTTTCCAATCTGCAGTTAATCCCCCCCAGGAGCCAGCACTGGCTGGGAGAGGAGCTGTTTCTCCAGCCCTGGGTGTCCTTGATGTCTCTCACCCACTGGCTTTTCTGCAGGAGCACATCCGGGACGTCACGGACTCATTAATTGAGCACTGCCAGGGAAATAGTGTAGGGGAGGATGCTCATGTCCCACTCTCCAATGAGAAGATCATCAGCATCGTCAATGACCTCTTTGGGGCTGGTGAGAACATTTTTGAGGGTAAAGCCTTGCTGTTGGGAGGCTGGGTGGGGGAACCGGGGCTGTCGGGGTAAGACCTTGACCATTTTTGGATATTTGGAGCTGCTGCTGGGCTCGTGGGCACTCTTCTGAACGTTGACCAGAGCAGATGGGTTTTCAGCGATAGCCGATGAGGAACTTCTCCACGGCAAACATCTAGAGGGATGGGGTCTGTAAATACCAGCTCCCCTGTCGTTTTTTGGTAGCTCAATGCCTTTTTCATGTCCATCCAGGCTTCGACACGGTGACAACTGCCTTATCTTGGAGCCTCATGTATGTTGCCTTGTACCCCCACATCCAGAAGAAGATCCAGGAAGAACTAGGTGAGTCCATGGACCTGCTTCCTCCGGGGCCAAAACTTCTCTGGTGAGAGATGACCCCAACCCACTCCCTCTTCTTGACCTCCTGCAGACAAGACCATCGGCCAGGAGAGGAGACCGAGGCTGTCAGACCGGGGCATGCTGCCCTACACAGAAGCCTTCATCCTGGAGACCTTCAGGCACTCCTCCTTCCTGCCCTTCACCATCCCACACAGGTACAGGCTGGAGCAGCCAACGTGTTATTTGGGGCGGGTTTTGGGTTTTTTTTGGAGTGGTTTTCTGGGAGGTGCCACATATTTTCTGGGAAGCAGCGAATTGCCCGGGAAGCGATCCTTGCTACGGGGAAATATTCCCCTCCGCAGCCTGAATTACTCGTGTCAAAGCTGCCACGTTGTGGTGGTGCCCGTGGCTGCAGCCCTTGGGGCCACCAGCTGCCCTCCTGGGCTCCAATCCTTCGCTTTGAGGTCAGTTTTACTCCAAAGCCTTTGCTCATGGAGGGGATGCTCAACATCCATGGGTTCGTATTCCCTCCCCTCCTTTCCTTGGGAGAAACCACATCGCAACCCATCCAGCTTATAGAGTCATAGAGTTGTCCAGGCTGGAAGGGACCTCCAAAGGGCGTCTAGTCTGACCTCCCAGCAGTCAGCAGGGACACCCCCAACTAGACCAGGTTGCCCAGGGCCTTGTTGAGCCTCTCCTTGAATATCTCCAGGGAAGGGGCCTCAACCACCTCCCTGGGCAACCTGTTCCAGTGCTCCACCACCCTCCCAGTGAAGAACCCTCTCCTCATCTCCAGTCTAAATCTGTTCCCCTCCAGCTTGAAGCCGTTAAAGCTTCCTGCAACCAGAATCTTTCTGCTTGAGGAGAAGTGTTAACCAAGACTATTAAGTCTCCCAGATACAAATTGGGGTATTTCCTGGCCCGTCCTGAGAGTTCAAACAGGGTGTTGGAAACGAAGAGGCCCCTAGGACTTGCCAAGCTTCGTTTCTCTGCGAGGCTGTGGGTCTCCTCCTGATTTCTCTTCCCCTCCACCCGTTATGTCTTTGCAGTACGACAAAAGCGACGGTGCTGAACGGCTACTACATCCCCAAGGATACCTGTGTCTTTATCAACCAGTGGCAAGTGAATCACGACGAGTGAGTAGAGCAAATTCCCCTCCCACCCCCTCTGCTTATCCAGGCTGTGGTGGCTTTGCTTGGCATGAAGAGCAACAAGCCCAAAGCCAAATGGCTCCTGAAGGCAGGAAAAGGCAGATAGGACCAAAAAAAACCAACCCAATACGGTGTGGGTTTGATGCTAAGCCAAACTTTGGGTCTCCTGGGTGTGGAGTCGCTCTGGGTTGACTTGGTCACTGGTTCCCCAGCGCCAGGGTTTACCTGATTTACGTGCAGTAACGTGGTGACTACAAAGACGATGAGGGGCCTGGAGCATCTTTCTGATGAGGAAAGGCTGAGGGACTTGGGTCTTTTCAGTCTGGAGAAGAGAAGGCTGAGGGGGGATCTGATCAACACCTATAAATACTCAAAGGGTGGGTGTCAGGAGGATGGGGCCAGGCTTTTTTCAGTGGTGCCCAGGGACAGGACAAGAGGAAATGGGCACAAACTTGAACATAAGAAGTTCCACCTAAACATGAGGAGGAACTTCTTTCCTGTGAGGGTGGAAGAGCCCTGGCAGAGGCTGCCCAGAGAGGTGGTGGAGTCTCCTTCTCTGGAGACATTCAAATTCCTCTGGACACATTCCTGTGGCCCTGCTATGGGTCACCCTGCTTTGGCAGAGGGTTGGAGGGGATGATCTCCAGAGGTCCCTTCCCACCCCATAGCAATCTGTGAGTCTGTGATGTCCTCAATGCACTGGACTTTCCACGTACGTGCGAGGGTTGGCAGCTTGGGCTGCTGAATAATCAGGAATGGGTAGATCCTCCTGCCAAGCAGCCCTTGTGATCCGGGCTCGCGGCTCTGGATGTGCTCAACGACAATCATCTGGTTCCCTCTTTCAGGGAGAAAAATGTCCTGACGTGACTCTCATTAAACTCAATAAGCTCATGTTGTTATTGCTGGTCATCAGTTTTGGTGAATGAAAGGGGATCTGGAAACCCAAGTCCCATCTTACCCCTCCAGTAGAGACCCTGTAGGGGGTGGGAAGGAATTAAGTTGACTAAAGGTTGATACAGAAGGTGGTTCCCAGATCAGGTGTTTTGGATCAGAAGGTCAAGACTTTGTGTCCAAACAGCCCAGGGGAGCAGAAATACCACATTATTCCTTCTGCTCCTGGTGAGCACTGCAATGGGAACACTGTCCTTAGGGCCAGAGAGGATTCCCCACATCCAAGCTCAGCTAAGACACTGGAAAATCCCACCTGGCACCTCCCAGCAGCTGGGCTGGGACAGGTTGGGAAGTTTTGCTGGGAAGATCCAAGGTGGGAAAACCCTCAGGTCTCCATCCTTCCTTTTGAAGAGGTGCTGACTGATTCCTGGGCACCAACCTATTTATTTTTATTTTGTTTTTCCTCTTCCTTTTGGCTGAAACTGGGGGATCTCTAGCCGTTGCACGCTGAATTAAATCCATCTCCGGTGTCTGCACAGACAAACACAATGGGAGTTTGGAACAGAGATGACAATAGACTGAGCTGATGGGGTCTGACACTTTGTTGGAGCTTCAGCTCAGGGACAGAGGTTGCCAAGGTTTGGTGGTTTTGGTGTTGTTTTTTTTTTTTTAAATGAGAAAATTTTGGGATGCTTCGCTCTGCAGGGAGGTGTTTTGACCGCTCTCCCCCATCCTGGTGGGTGAAAACGGCTTCCTCAGCTGTCTCTCCTTTCTGCTGCAGGAAGCTTTGGAAGGATCCCTCAACCTTCAACCCTGAGCGGTTCCTCAACGCGGCGGGGACTGAAATCAGCAGGACGGAAAGCGACAAAGTGCTGACTTTCGGCTTGGGGAAGAGGCGATGCATCGGGGAGTCCATCGGCCGGTGGGAGGTCTTCCTCTTCTTGACCACCATGCTACAGCAGCTGGAGTTCAGCCTCCTCCCCGGGGAGGAGGTGGACACCACTCCCCAGTACGGGCTGACCATGAAGTACAAGAAATGCGAGAGCTTCCAGATCAAGAAGCGTTTCCCCACGAAGAGCTCTCCGTAAGCTCCGCAGAAGAAAAGCCAGCCCTTGGAGTTGGACTCTCTGCCAGCTTTTGCCAACGCTCTCTCCAAGCTGACACAACCCCTCGCTGTGTCGCTTCACTGGAGGCTTGTTCATCTCATGAAAATGCGAGTGGGGAGGGATAAAGCCGGCTTTGTTGGGCTCCCTGTGCCAGCTCCACCACCCTCACCCATGGAGTAGCTCCCTAGAGGTCCAGCTCACTCATCCCTCTCGGGGAGGTCTAGGGGGACCACAGCCCTGTGGTGGGGAGGACAATTTGGGCTGGGAGAAGCAGTGGGAGATGTGAGTTAGGGATGTCCTCACCCTGCCCTCACTCCCTTCATCCACCAAATAGGGATAAACCTGCAGGTTCCTCCCTGAGAGACCTGGCCAACCTTTACCCATGGGGTGAAAGTCTTTGAAGCTCATTCGGTGGAGCCGTTGGCCAACCCTTCAGCTCTTCATGCCGATGGGATCCGGCCACCTGCTGAAGGGCTCTGGAGGCCAGACCTACCCCAGGTGGACCCCTTCTGGGTGCACCCTCGCACAGCTAAATTCCTTGAATGTACGTTCATTAAATGAATCCCCAAGTGTTTCTACCAATCCTTGGTGACAGCCTGACTACTAGAAAAAATAAAATAAAATAAATATATATATCCATAAGTAGTTCTGTTGACAATTTGAGATCTTATCAGCTGGACTCCTAACAAGAAGCCTCCTGGAAAATATCAAAGGGCTGAGAGTCAAGGAGAAGAAGCAGTAAGAGGCACAGCAGGACACTTCTGGCTTTCACACTATGCGTTTGCTGCTTTTGTTTTAATGAGTGGGATTTATTAATATATTTTATTTAGCAACCGAGCCAAGAGATGTCTATATTCAGACTAGTCAAAGGAGCAAGGGTTTGAGAAGCGCAGGGGATGCTCTCAGCCTGCGGAATATAAACTGCACAGGATTTCCAACCCAATAAATACCTCTTTGAAAGTTTCTTGCTGGTTTGATTCCACTGGGAAAAGATTGGAGAGGGGAAAAACCCCCCTCTTCCAATTCTTCTTCACTCATAAAAATTTGACTTGGGTGGGGGGGAATCTGGACACAAGTTGGCTGTGACAGTGGGTGGCATCGGGGGGAGGTTTTTAGCCTTCGTGGGTGTATGTAGAGAAGTCAGATCCTCATCTGGGATTTGGGAAGAGGTGACGTCAAGCACCAGCTCCATTCAGGAATTCACTCAAAATCGGGACTAGTCCTTCCATCCCTGAAAAAAAAAATAAAAAATAAAGGGAATTGATCACTTGGAAAGAACCTTTTGCAGCCCCTCGGGGGGGTGATCTGCAGAGGGGTGCTTTGGACCACCACCTGCTCTGGGCTTCCCCATCTCAGAGCATCATTATTTCCACGGCTTTGCATAACTTCCCTTAAAAAAATTAATATATATATATAAAAATGCAATAAACCTTGAATTTCCTGGCAAATAATAAAGGACTTTATGGAAAACCTGGGGTCTGTGCTTACCTGAAGTGACACGACCAAGCCCGCCAGGGTTTCCAGCAGTGTGGGGTGGGTGGAGATGGGAAATCCCTTTTTCCCCACGGGTACATTTTCCCGAGGCACAAATCCTTTAGCCAAACCCTCAAATGTGGGTGTAACGTGGGGAATTTGGGCAGAATTCATTCATTCTGCTGAACGTCCTGCTCCTCACTAAACCCCCTGCCCTGGGATGCTCCTCTCTTGCCCCGCGCGGGGAGAAAATCCAAATTAAGTGCAGAAAGGTGAATATTCGACTCCATCCATCACCATGAATGTTCCTTGTTTGTTGTGTGGGTGTCTATTTTTGTCGGTTAGGTTGATGGTTGGACAAGATGATCTTTAAGGTCCCTTCCAACCTAGAAGATTCTGTGATTCTATGAATGATCCAGTGGCCCTTGTGCCCCGGAGTTAATTGCAATTTTGTGGCCGTGCCGTGGAAAAGCTGCTCCCTGGAAGAGGAGCCTTCCTCCTCCCGCCGTGACCTCGCTCACCTTCGCGTTATCGTTGCCGACTGCCGGGGTAATGATTTTGTTTTTAATTAGCGTCCCCGGCATGGCCTGCTGTTTGGCCAGGGGAGGTCAGCTGGCACAGCAGGCATCCAGCACCCCACCCCGCTCCTTCCTCCGCCTAACGAGGAAAACAGCCCCTGGGCTCCAGAGCGGGGGAAAAATAAGCTGGTTTTAATGGAATTGAAGAGAAAGTGGGAGATGAATGCGCCCCGTGCCTCTGGGAGTGAGGGAGGTGGGATGGAGGTGGTGGAGGTGCGATGGAGATGGGATGGAAGTGACAGAAGGTGATAGATGGAGGTTTGGGAGAACATTTGCCAGCAGTGACAGGAGCGGTGGAGACGTGCCAGTGGGCGTGTAGCAGCCGCCATGGCAGTGAGATGGAGAAGTGATGGAGGTGTGACAGAGGTGATAGATGGGAGATGGAGGTGTTGGAGGTAGGATGGAGGTGGGAGGGAGGTGATAAAAGTGGGATGGAGGTGATGGAGGTGGGACGGAGGTGATAAAAGTGGGATGGAGGTGATGGAGGTGGGATGGAGGTGATGGAGGTGGGATGGAGGAGATGGAGGTGGGATGGAGGTGATGGAGGTGGGATGGAGGTGATGGAAGTGGGATGGAGGAGATGGAGGTGGGATGGAGGTGATGGAGGTGTTGGAGGTAGGATGGAGGTGTGATGGAGTTGTTGGAGGTGGGATGGGGGTGTGATGGAGGAGATGGAAGTGTGATCGAGGTGATGGAGGTGGGCTGGGGATGGGATGGAAGTGACAGAAGGTGATAGAAGGGTGATGGAGGTGTGACGGAGGTTTGGGAGAACATTTGCCAGCAGTGACAGGAGCGGTGGAGACGTGCCAGTGGGCGTGTAGCAGCCGCCATGGCGGTGTGATGGAGAAGTGATGGAGGTGTGACAGAGGTGATAGACAGGGGATGGAGGTGTTGGAGGTAGGATGGAGGTGGGATGGAGGTGATGGAGGTGTGACAGAGGTGATGGAGGTGTGAAGGAGGTGTGATGGAGGTGATGGAGGTGGGATGGAGGTGATGGTTCATGGAATGGAAGTGATAGAGGTGTGACAGGTGATGGAGGTGGGATGAGATGATGGAGGTGATGGAGGTGGGATGGAGGTGATGGAGGCAATGGGGATGTGATGGAGGTGATGGAGATGGGATAGAGGTGGGATGAAGGTAGTGGAGGCGATGGAGATTTGGCAGAGGTGATGGAGGTGTGATGGAGGTGATGGAGGTGTGATGAAGGTGATAGAGGTGGGATGGAAGTGGGATGGAGGTGATAGAGGTGGGATGGAGGGGATGGAGGTGTGACGGAGGTTATGGCCATGGGATGGAGGTGATGGAGGTGTGACAGAGGTGATGGAGGTATGAGGGAGGTGAGAGAGGTGTGATGGAGGTGTGATGGAAGTGATGGAGGCGATGGCAATGATGGAGGTGTGACGGAGGGTATTGAGGTGATGGAGGTGTGATGGAGGTGATGGAGGTAGGATGGAGGTGATGGAGGTATGACGGAGGTGACAGAGGTGTGATGGAGGTGGGATGGAGATGTGGTGGAGGTGATGGAGGTGGCGGAGGTGACGGAGGTGTGATGGAGGTGTGACGGAGGTGTGATGGAGGAGATGGAGGTGGGATGGAGATGTGATGAAGGTGATGGAGGTGGGTTGGAGGTGGGATGGAGGTGATGGAGGCGATGGAGGTGTGATGGAGGTGTGATGGATGTGTGATGGAGGTGTGATGGAGGTGATGGAGGCGATGGAGGTGGGATGGAGATGTGATGGAGGTGTGATGGAGGTGATGGAGGTGGGATGGAGGTGGGATGGAGGTGATAGAGGTGGGATGGAGGTGACGGAGGTGGGATGGAGGTGATGGAGGCACTGGAGGTGTGACAGAGGCGATAGAGGTGTGATGCAGGTGATAGGGGTGGGATGGAGGTGATGGAGGTAGGATGGAGGTGTGCCAGCGGTGCCGGAGGCGCGGCAGCGGTCGGAGAGGCGGTGGCGGAGGGACACAGCGGGACCGGTGAGGGAGCACGGAGCCACTGCGCATGCGCCAGGCCTCCGAGTCCTCCGCGCCTCTCTATGGTCACCCGCGCTGGCTGGAGCGCCGCCGCCGGGGAAGGGGAAGGGAGGGGGGCGGGCAGGAAGTGACGTCAGCGCCGAGCGTCGCTGAGGCGGAGGGGCCGCGGCGGAGGCGGGCGGGCAGCGG